AGAAACAAGTGCCTTACTAGTAGTAACAAGAAGCTATTAGGAACAAGGACGCTAGAGATCGGACCTCCTCCTGTTCTTCACTCCCATCACTCCTGGCAGCCCCTATGGTCACCCATGTGTTCAAGAAACTCAAGGACCATACTTACTCACCCACCCCGCAAAATATTGAAGACCTCAAGAGTAGGCACATCATCCCAAGAGTTCAAAAAGCACCCAGGGAGAGTGGGGGGGTGGATGGGGAGCACGAAGGAGTAGTTGGCTTGTAGGTGCACCAGCTGAGGCACAGACGCAACGTGACAGCGAGCTGATCCCGCTGGGAGAGGCCGTGTGTGTGAACTAGGTCGATATCGACAACAAGCTAAGAACAGGTGGATGGACGACATAGATAGCAGGCTGAGACATGAGTTTCTTTTGACCTGGACGTCAGGATTGAACGTCAGTGGACGCCTCTCCTTTTAGGCACGGAAATTCCGGGCCTGCAAGGCGAATCCTTTCGATGAGGCCGACGCCTTCCCACGGGGCGCTGGGGCACCTGTCGCGTGTGACGTGGCACCTGTTGCGGTAGCGAAATGTAGCGAATGGGCCATCAGGTAGTTGATTCAGCTGTTTGAGGTAGATCAAGTCCAGCCAGGGCTTCGAGAATGAGGATGAAAACTTTAGAGATGGCAGCACTGCAGCTCGTTGGCCAGCATGACCATGCCCAACTCAGTGACAAAGATTCGGGATGCAACCCTTGCAGAGCATAATGGAATGTGTGACCATCCCCGGGTTTCTAAGCCTGATTGGGAGTCATGCATTTGCAGGATGCAGTGCTTTGATCAATTTGATCAGGTGAGGTGTGCCGCCTTCCATGACTGCAAACGGGAACTGATAGTTGACAGGAAGGGCCCTGGCCCTCTTGCGGCAAAAGTTTTCCCAGAGGTCAAGGCTCATTGTCCATTTCCATGTGTCGTTTGCCCAATACTTTGGAATGCTCTTTGGTGGTTCTTTCTAAAAGATTTGATAGGTACAGTATAGCAATTCCTCACTAATTAGGAAGGAAGTTCCAAACGCAAAAAATACAAACATATGAACACACTCTGACATTGGCTTGCAGTTAACTCAATTCCCACGATGAGAAGGAAGGTGATGGAACGGAAAGGCGTATGGGTCAGCAAGAACAGTATGGTTGAACAATGTTTCGACAGGTGTGCGGTGGCGAGCCTCTGTACAATTCAACTGCTTTCTGAAAGTGGAATGGTTTGGGGGAAGGTATCATGAACCACCATGGAAACAAGAAGGAAAAAGTGGACAGCGTGATCAACAGTTTCGTGGCAGGTACACATTCAGGCGTCCCTGAATGCTTCCACCAGTCTTCTGTAGCTTCGTTGGGCAACGTAAGAAGACTGGCCGTTGCCCCCCTGCATGTAAAGTTGAGAAGGAAGCGAAACAGCACCCTTTGGAACAGGGGTTGACACACACACGGTGCCGCTTGGCGGCGCGTGCGTGGAAAGCCTGAATAGATACCTAAAAAGCCTTAGAAACAAAAGAAAGAAACACAGAAAGAGCAGCGCTAAGAGGGCAAGAGAGAAAGATAGGCGTAGAAAAGAAAGAAAAATGAATACTCAGCCCTTGACTGGGGTAGGGAAACGAGCCTCAAGAACAACCTAAAAAGCCTGAGAGAAAGCCCAACCAACAAACGACAAAAAGCGCAAGAAGGAAAGGGGGGGCAGGGAGGGGGTGTATGTCCATGTGTGTGTGTACGTGTGTGTGTGTGTGTGTGTCTGAAAACTTAGCACTCTAGGGTTACTGACTACTCAGCAGAAACGAATTACAGTGCAATAGTTAGGGAGCGGGACTTTAGTCTTAAACCGCCCGGGTAGAGTAGACTAGAAAGGGACAACAGAGGGAAAGGCACCGACACACAATTAGGTAGGGAGTAGAACACGGGGGGGGGGGGGGTTGGGAAACCTGCCTCCAGTGGGGTGAATTACGTTTTTAAGCCCGGTGGCTGTCATATCCGTAAAAGCCCGGCGGCTCTAAAAGCAGAGAATTCAGGGTTGGTGAGAGCATTCACGTGGATTTGAGGTGGTGAGATTTCCTGAAAGAAAGCAGTTACACGATTTCCGGAATGATAACAGCGCCTCCTTGCGGAGGACCACACCCAGCACCCAAGTGGGACGGCTGAGCGGGTCACACTCTGACATTGGTTTGCTGTTAACTCAATTCCCACGATGAGAAGGAAGGTGATGGAACGGAAAGGCGTATGGGTCAGCAAGAACAGTATGGTTGAACAATGTTTCGACAGGTGTGCGGTGGCGAGCCTCTGTACAATTCAGCTGCGTGAGAAAGCGGAATGGTTTGGGGGAAGGTATCATGAACCACCATGGAAACAAGAAGGAAAAAGTGGACAGCGTGATCAACAGTTTCGTGGCAGGTACATATTCAGGCGTCCCTGAACGCTTCCACCAGTCTTCTGTAGCTTCGTTGGGCAACGTAAGAAGACTGGCCGTTGCCCCCCTGCATGTAAGTTGAGAAGGAAGCGAAGCAGCACCCTTTGGAACAGGGGTTGACACACACACACACAACAACAAACAAACAAGAACTGCTCGCAGCCTCTGGCAGACACGGGGTGTGTTTCCCGCTCGTTCCAAGGCCCGCCGCCGCGGCTTCGCGGCCTTCGCGGCGCGGAGCCGCGCGGAGCAGCTGGCGCGCTGAAAGCGGTGGAGAGCGGTGGCCGGCGGAAAGACGGCGGGGTCTGGGGCAAAGACTAGGGAAAAAGGATGGAAAAGGTACAGTTGTGGATGAGACATGATGAGGTTTGGAACGTTTCCTGAGCTCTTAGACTTCTATAAGATTGGATGTGGACAAGAGGAAGGAAACCCGACATCTTGAATGATTTGAATGTGCCTTTTAGGCAGCAGAAGGCATCTGAATCGGACCTTGCCCAGATCCATGATTCCTGGCTTCTGGGTAGGCGACAGTGGTGGGAAGTGCAGGATCCAAGATGTCTTCCTGCTATTTATTTTGGTTTCGTTCGGCGACATGTTTGTGTGCATGCACGTTTGTACAACAAGTTAGGGAAGGAGGCGCCTACGAGCAGCCTGCGAGTATAAAGTTTGGTTGTGGACAACATGACCTGCCAGCTTTGCATCACTCAGCTTGGATGACCTGTCATAGTCATAGGTACCGACAAAGGGCTCGGCTTTTCCGTGGACGAAAAAGGAAGTAGCGGAGGAGACGGGAGGTGCGCCAGGAGCATTGGGATAGCTCACGGTTGACGAGGGCAGGCCCATCCAACGCTTCCCCCCGAGCATTGAACATTTTCCGCTCTGTACCATTGTGATCTTATATAGGAGGTCTTTCAAAGGTTTGCCTTTACAAATGCTTTCACTGACTTGACAGCACCTGGGGTTCATATTGGATGATCAACAAGTGGGTGAGGGGCGCAGTTCTGAAGAATTCCGGGCACTTCAACTTCCAGAAGGAAAGGCGGAAAACGCACTTCGGCAGGTGTGACGTTTCACAGCTCCAGTCCATGTGTCGTTTTCACCCCTCATTCTCATCACCCATTGCTTGTACCTGCCGTTTCGGCCGCCCACCTACCCGTGGCGCCTGGCCCTGGTGGCTTTGATCCGGCGGTTCTGCCGGGGAACCAAGTTTGGGCTTCCTCTGCGCGCACCCGCGGGGGTGGGTTCAGGCAGAGGAAAAGCCCAAAGCTGGATACCACCGGAAAGGTCAACAAGTCCTGCCGCTGAAAAAAACTTGGGAAGCCAAGGCCAAGGCAACAAACTAACAAACTCTCGCAGAAAAAACCGCCACAGCCAGATTCCGCATATAAGATCCCACACGGGGTCAGAGGGGCTCTGGAGTTGTTTCAATCGGTTCAGCCCACAGTCATCTCCCCTTTGGGCATCAATTTGGACATTGTTGGCTTACCCGCCAATCCAATAGGCCACTTGGCTGTGGGTGAATTCTACAAGGACACTACTGGTGATGTTCACCAATTTTGCCAAGGCATTGTGCCATATTTTGCCACTGCCCGGATGCTTGTCAGACTGCCGTGGCATCCCTCCAAACACATCCAACCGCCTAAACGCGAGCCGTTTGCCGTCCTGCAAGGTCAGATCCGTTGATCGTTGGACCGGCGCGGGGTTTCCCGCCGCGTTTGGACCGACGCACGGTCATGGGCGTTGCTTGGCAGTAGCAGATGGGTGGATTTGATGATGGGAGCGATGGACGAGGTGTTCATGACAGGATGTTCCCGTGGGTTAGGCAACCCCAACAAATGTGACTGGGGCGGTAGTGTTTAGGGGACCCATCGAATACCACAAGACTCAAAGTCAACTGACCGGGCTGTAGTGGGCTTCACGCCTGAAGCATCCTGAAGCATGGGGGATATGTAATCGCAATTGGCTGACGCAGTGAGTTCAGCCTGGCGCTACGGGTGCCCCACGTGTAACGTGTCCATGCCTCACGTGCAACGCGGTCGATGTCCTCTGAGGTGGTCAATAGGACAGACGAGTTCAGGCGTGAGTCCCGCGCGAGTCGTTGCACGGTGCTGATGGTAATGAATGGCACAGGAGTTGGTGTCAAGTCCTTCGAAGTACGCACTACATAAATGGATCCAAATAAGTCCAGCGGCTGGGTTCCAGGTGCAAAGAAGAGCATGTCTTACATTAATCTTTGGGTACTGAGGGTCTTTTTCTGAAACAACTTCTCAAGTGCTGTCTATCAGATTCATTCAGCTTCTGCTCTGGGGATGCCGGCTAAGAAACGTGTTTTGCTTCAAATGTTTGCACCTGGATAGCACAAACCACGCCCTTCCGTGTTGCCAAGAACTCAGTATCAGTAGACTACTGGCCGGGCCGCACCCCTTTGCGAAGGGGCATGTTGGGGAAGGTGGCCTGCCTTTGTCTAAAGGTATCGCAGGGAGACTCGAATTGCCTGCGGTACGAGTTCGGACCGTCCTTCCAAGACCTCCGTGGGCGGAGAGCTTTTGGGGCGCTTGCACGATTCCCGTGCGGCTCGAAATGGGCAATTGGATCTCATCATATGGGTCTGGGTCAAAACCTGCTCGCAAACACTGGTGGACCATGTCTGCTAGTCCATTCAGGCACATCCTCCGGGACTTTGCCACCAGCGGCGGAGGTGCGGCAAGGAGGTCCGGGTGGTGGACGGAACCAAGGCCCTCATTGTGGGACCAAGGTGTGGGGCTATTCAGTCAGCTGGGCTCGGCTGGGTTGGTTGGCTTTGGGGAGGAGCGGCCTGGTGGAATTGTCATACGCCCACAATACATAATTACATATGATTGTACATATCCATTTCATGGAGTTGCTCTTCCCTGCCTGGATGAGCTTGGTCTACAATTATCTTCATTTTGAGTCATCAATTTCCAGCAACAAACCATAAGGCTATAGCCAGTCATGGTAGGTTTACCTATGTGGTCAGCCAAGGGTCCGGTGTTTGATTGACCCATGCCCAAAACATACTCACACAGAGCACTGAGTTGAGGTACTCACATGTGAACTCATGTGTAGGCTCATTGCATGGCCTGCTTGTTGCAAACAAGACAGAGCAATCAATCAGCTGTGGGAGGGAGGAGGAAGGCTGCATCTTCCAACCACCCAACTAGTCACTGGAGTGTTCGCAGGCTTGAACTTTGAGACGCCTCAAGCAACGTTGGGGAACCTGATTTAACGCCGATGCGGCCGAGAGATACAGGGGGAAGGTCCCATATGGCCCATATATAAAGGACTTTTTGCAGGATTCGGGAGTTGTTTTGTTGTTGATGTCCCTACTGTAAATGTGGGCTTGATGGATTGTGTTTAAGGGCTGTTACTGTAAGAGGTGGCTCTCGGGGCTGTGCACACTGAGTTCTATCATTTGGCTGAGCCCGTTCCGCAGGATGTTAACTCCATCCTTGCTGTTTGGGGGTAGTGCACCTGCTTGTGAACGGGCCCTTCAAATGCATGAACGACCAACACAAGTGGATTCACCAGTCTCACTCGTCGGGCCGAACTGTGACCAGCTTCACCCCGCCCCACAGGTATTGTTTGACAGGTATCTTTCCTGCAGCAGTTAGTTGAGGGAAGATGACCAGGGATTGAACGTCACGAGTGTTTTCAGGCAGTCAGAGGTTGAGACACCAAGCTGGACATCGCAAGAGCTCAAGAGATTTGAGGTCCCAGTTGAACCGATGGTCCTCAGAGATCAGTGCAGAGATCCATGAGACCTTGCAGAAGGTGGGCGAGCTGAGGAGCCGATGGTCCGGTGGACGAAGGGAGAGCTTTCCAGGAGTCCGCCACACGAGCGACACAGTGGAATCATCGGACATCCGAAGGGGGTCCACAATTGATGGTTATATATATAGTGGACCATAATTGTGTTGTTGGTTATTTATATAGCGGGTCCACTGGATGGTGTCTTCAGTTCCATAACTTCTCAGGGCTCAAGCAGGTGGTCGGCCGAGATCAAAGGCGCCGAGATCAGTTGTTGATCGCCAAGACTCAGCACCACTTTCGAGAAGCACCTTACAATACAAGTGTGCTTGTTTTAAAGTTTAAAGCCCTGTAACGGGTTGAATTTCTACCTTTGTCTTTTCAACTGCACCCCTCCAGCTAGACTCTTGGCAAGATAGTCGGAGAAAGTCTTTTTTCTTTTCCAGGGGCCATTGTCCACTTCCGTGATTATTTCCGAGAGGGTACTTAGTAATTAGTCTGAGTGGCCTTGGGGATTGAAGCCTGAGGGGTGTATAGGCAACACCTGAGTTCTCGTTTGATCCTTTCCATCCATTTGCTCGTTAGTCCTTGGCTGTAGTACCTCCACTCACGCCGAAGGAAGCTGTCGAAGCAGACACGCCTTTTTAACGCCAAGACTGACCAGATCCAGGATCGCTGAACTGCTTGGTTGGTCCAAGTGCCTCAGGTCAAAAGGCCAGGAGTACTGAACCTTGATTTCCAGTTGCTGGAGTCCTCAGTTTGGAATGATTTTTTGATATGTTGGAAACTCCTTAGGACCATGTCTTGCCAAAGCCAACGCTTTTGATAGTTCCGGAACTTAGCCATGTTCAGTTGAATTGCCGTATCAATTGTATCAGCCTTCGGTGCGGTTGGTTTCCGGCTGCTGAAGAACTGGTTTTGGCCTTCCGTTCAGGAGCTGATTTACACGGTGACGCAAAAGATTCAGCTCCTGAATCCGAAAATCGAGGCCTTGGAATCCCAAGTCAAAAGCTCCAGGTTCCTCGATGTAGAGCGACCGCGATGTTCCGCGTGGGTTGCGAGTGACAGCCTGAGGTTGCTTGCGGGTGTTAACAGAGGGGGGCTGAATGAAAAGATGCATTATTTTGGGTGCTTGAGGTAGCCTCATAGTAAGGTAAGCCACCTTCCAGACCCAAGAGACTGTGGGCGGACTGTGGACTGTTTGTTTAGAAGAGTTTATGCTGGGTAACTCGTGCTTTCGGTATTCCGAGAGAACATTTCTTGCTTTTTGGGCCTACCGCCCAGAAGGTTGACTCGTCTAAGACATCCTTAGCGACACATCAAGCCTTCAGGTGCCCGAGACTTCTTTCATCCGCTGCACAATCTGTAAGTTCCACTGCTCCGCTCTCGTCGATGTTTCCGGCCACTTGGTTCGAGGAAGAACAAGAGCTATCAGACGCATGCATCCACCCTGGTGGAAACCCTGAAGACCAGGCTGCCAGACGAACGCGCTCAGACTCCAGGATGGATGCGTGGTGACGTGTTGGGCGTAACACAGCTGTGTTTTCCGCTGGGCGGTTATTTCAACATTTGACAAGGGGTGTTGTCGAAGAGCCACAACACCGTTTAAATCATTGCAATTCATTGCACACACACACACATATATATATATAATTACAATTACTGTATGTATATATATATATATCCATCCATCCAAGGCAGCTCCCCAGATAGTGCATGGCTTCTCTGGTCCAGGTTCTTTCAATTGAACAAGGAGTTTAAGGATGCACAGGAGGAGTGAATGCGCAGTCAATGCCGGTGGTCCTTGCAGTCGATAGTGGTCCCTAATTTCTGGTTCATGATGGTTCATGTACACAGTACACACGAAGCACAGGCCGAAACTGGATGAGTGTTTAAAAACACATGCCCCAAACCTGATCAAAGGATATGAAAGGGGGATGGGAGTCCTAACGATGATTTATGATTCTGAACCTCTGTGAAGGAATCGGGTGAAACCGGTAAAACCATGTGAAGCCCTTGGGCCTCTCCAGTGCGGGGTGTTCCCGCTTGAGCGTTTCGGGTGGGTCGTCAAAAGGAACTGGGGGTAGCCAGAGGTCTTGTCGATGGCCTATGGTTGGCTCTTGGAACTGCAGAAATCACGAGCTTTGGCTGGGAAGTAGCAGTTTTCCATCGTTTTCAATTGCGCCCTGCAATCTCAGCAGGTCATGACGCATTTTTGGCTAAGACCTCTCTCCAGGACTGGACCAAGGCATTGCTGCAGCAGGCCCGAGGGCCCAAGATGGGTCAAGGCCTTTGATTGAGAGGTGCGTGGAATGGCTGAGATGGGAGGATCCTCCAATGTCCCCAACATGAAGCGCAGTTCAGCCGGCCTTCCAGGTCTGTCACGCATTTCTGTCTCTATGATGGGAGGTCCTGAAACGCCACTGCGGTTTCTGTTTTGATTGTTTATATTTCTGATTTCAAGCTCTTCAACGCAGGCTGGCAGTGAAGGGAACTGGTTGTGGAACCGGATGGCCATGCCATCCATGCCAATGGAAGCATGGGTAGTTAGTCACCATAGTGAGTAGGGTCTGGAGATGATATTGATATTCATTTATTCATTAGCTGCAAGCCTGCTGACAGGTGGACCATATCCAATAGCAAGGCAAGACATACAATCACCGTTCTTCTCATCAAACATGTCCTCCTACAGTCGTACTAGGATGCGGCAGAGAAGGCATGAGAAGGCCACCTTTCAACTAACCCTGCAGCTATTGACCCCGGCGGCCTTAGGCCCATTCATCCGCCCAGACCACTGCTGCGGCGTACGGCGCAAAACGGCAGGAGCAGAGGAGACAAGATCTGATGTACTCCTCCGCTCCGCGCCGCGTCGATCCCGTCCCCCGTTGGCAGAGGCGCTTGGGAACAGATTCGTTGTAGACGTGAGTCGCAGGTTTGGCTTGGACTGGTGCTGGGGCAGGGGTTCTGCAACACTATGATTCGCAACGTACTTTGCCAGTCATGACACGGTCTGAGGTTTTCAGTGACCCGCGGTCTTCAGGGTTTTGCGAAGTACTACTTTACTTGTGTCCTTGTATATACTGTAGTCGTCCTTTTTTACAATTGTTGCGAACAGGCTGCTAACCAGGCCCCGCAATAGAGACGGGTAAAGTCTAGTCTCCCAATCCACTCAGCCCATCGACAAGTGTGTGAAGGTTCCACACTCGAAGAATGATTTGAGTTCGCATGTCTCCCACTGGAAGACTGATTTGAGTTTGCATGGTCCTGTAGATTTTTGCCTCCAAAGGTTTTCAAAGGTTGTCGATAATGACTGCCATGCCCTTGCCTCACAACATGAGCTTTAGAATTCCGCCGCGGCTGACCCACATACATTGAACACCTTCTGACATCCGCAACGAACCAAAAGCTTTCTCCTGCTGAAGTTTTTGTGGCCATGGAGATCGTTTGGGAGCGAGTGCTCGTTTGCCGTCGTTTTATCTTATTTGTCAGAATCCGTCGCCAACAGAAATCCTTGGAGAAGAGGCCCATTGAGGGCACTCTAAACCCCACCAGCCACTGCCCACATCTTGGGTCGCCCAGCTGCCCAGCTGCCCCAGGCCGAGGCCCACTGGAGACTCTGAAGACTTGGAGGTCGGGGGTGCCAGAGCAGTGACCATGCAGCACGGCCACCGGGCAGAAGTGAAAAGAGTGCCGCGGAACGGAACGAAACGGGTTTTCTTTGAATTGGCACTTCCCCATGTGGATCATGGTGTATTTTGTGGCGATGTAAAAGAATGTTGTGCAGTGCCAATGTCACCAGCAGCGCTTGCATGTCACGTATGTCATCTCTGGCAACCTCTATGGTTGGTTTGATTTGCGTCCTTGAATGAAGGGTTGGTGATGCATTGGAGCATTTGATGTGCAGGGTGACCAGCTGAGGTCCTCTTCCAAATGGGGTCCAACAGAGAACATCGATTTAGACTTACAAAATAGATGAATAATTCAAAACAATGCATGGACCTTCAGAAAACCTGTTTTCCCCTACAGGCCAGTTGTTTATCAAATAATGAAAAGGGTTTCCGTGTGCGTCTTGAGATCCTAAAGTGTGCCAGCGCGACTTTTAGTTGCTGGGGAGGTTGATTGTGTCGCAGTTTGTAGTCTGCGCTTCTCAAGCAGCTGGCAGTCAGGCTGAGCAGTTAGCCTTCAAAACTTCGACCAGACCTCTTAAGATTCAGTCCAAGTACCACCACTACCGAGGTCTAATCCAGTCAAGACCTGCATCGGCGGGATATTGATCCTAATATTTACAGTAATATGCGACGAATCAGAGTCTTTGGGTTCGCTTCGGGATCCGCTTGATCCCCTTGCCGTCCGGTCGTGCTACCGCCCCCGAGGCTACCGCAGTTCCCGGGCTGAAGCGGTACGGGGAGTCCAGAAGAACATCTCAGAGTTGGCTCAGATCGTCCAAAGGACGCCTGCCCACCGTTGGGTGCGGGAAACATGCCTAGAACCTTCTAGAATCTAAAACAAAGTGACCTCTGCCTACGGCAAGCAGGAGCTGTTGGAGTTGTCCAAAAGAAATTTAACTTAGTGTGTGTGACTCCTTCGCTCTCTCTGATTGTCACCAAAGAAAATGACCCTCCTAGCTGGGTTGCTTGTGAATTTGCAGGCTTTCTGCAAACACCTCCAATGAATTTCTCGAATGTCCATGAATTGCCATGAACTTGGCTTTGATCATTTTTGCAATTTGATGAATGTTCTTACTGGGTCTATGGCAGCTAGGCTGAGTCGCCCTAAAACCCCTCTACCAACAGATGCACCAGGAACGTGACAGGGGAAACTTCTGACTTTTGGGCATGCATGAAATATCAATCCACTCACCCACCAGCCCTAAATACGGTCATTGATCTCGGAGGATCGCTGTCACGGTCACCGCGCAAGAAGAGACGGTCCGCCGGATCGACGACGAACTGGACGACGCCGTGGTCAACTTGCAGCTCGGGCAGGAGGGGCAGATGGGCGCTTCGGGTGACGGGGAGGGACGGGTCACACCGGAACGAACGGTCCACAGGGGTGGCAGATGGTGGCAGATGGTGGCAGGAAGGCGTGTTTGGACCCAGTGGACATCAGTGGACGATGTGGAGGAAGTTCTTTTCGCCACGGAGCCCCTGTGCCTCAGATGTTGGCCATGCAATAGAAACGTGCGATCATCGGTGGGGAGTGTCGCTGACCATGCCGAAGAACATGGCAGGCCAATTTGCTCCAATACTTCCGCGCCATATCTTCAAACCGCAAGAGGCTTAGAGCTGTGCGGTTGAACAGTTGACTGCAAGTTCTTCATTCATCATATGTCAGAAGAAGTGAGCAGATGTTTCCCCACAGTCGATTGGAATCCTATTTTGGCACCTCCAAGTCCGTGGCACTTTGCTGGGACATCCCCTTAACCAGCAGTTTTGTGGTGTGTCTTCTTGCCTCATACCGAGGTGCGCTTATTGTCAAGGTGTTTCTCATCCTGATCTTCTTTGTGCCTTCCTCGTATGGAATTCACCAGGATGAGTCTGGGAACTCTTCGACTGCGCCCAGCTTCATCCATAGGGAAAGCACCCACTGTGCCGCTGCGCCCACCCTGTGTTGCAGTGCCTCCGGAACACCGGCACAAACAAGTATGCATAATCTTCCGGAAGCTCTGCGTGTGGGTCACAACTCGATGCCCAGTGAGACAGTGCTTACAGGAGAGTTGGAGGATCTCAACTGAGTAGAGATGAACTCTTGTTGTAGAGAGTTTGGATCCACATCCTCATGGTTTAACAATTCAACCGTCCTTGGTAGATGAGGTTTGGTCCATACGTGCGACGGTTCGCACAGTTTTTTGAAACAACATAGGCGGCAGTTTAGACTGGACCACTGTGAAGAGAGACGACCTCAGAGAATGAACAGGTCTGCTAAGTTGGTGATCCAACCAGTGTTCTTTTCCTACCATAAAATTTGTCGAGTTCGACCACACGTTCAATGACCAGGCGTGCAGCCAGAATACCATTCTCGCAGGGGTGCAGGGACCAGAGCATGCCGAGTTTTAAGAGAAACACCGAGGGCAGGGCTTGGGTCAACCGATCGATATACGCTCCAGCACCAAATTTTTGTTCCCTGCCCTTCCCGTTGGTCCGATGTTGGGACTCATCAGGCTCAACTTGTGTGAGTTTCTCCAAGTCCACCCTTTTGACGCGGAGAGCCTCGTGGTGTGAGCACCAAGGTGATCTTCTTCGTGGTCTTCTTGGCGTGAGTGGTCGGTCCATAGGTACTCGTGGGTTCAAACGGCCCTCATGCTCAAGTGGTGTGGCGCTAGCAGCTGGTGCCCAGCAATCCATGTACAGTGTAGAGAGCTGGGTCTGGAAATTTTGTGCCTCCCGAGGAAAAGAGGTATATAAATTCTGTTTTCGATTCTCGGTGGAGTGTGTGCTGGGGATTGTGCAGACAAGCTTTGAGGAAGATTGTGCAGATTGATCAAAGACGGATTTTTTCAATTTATCGGCTGCTATGTGATGCTATATGTGTTGGTGGGGAGGGCCATCCGACTGCTACAATATATATATATATATAGATGCTCTTGTTTTTGCAATGTGGTACAGGATTTCCTTGATGCCTTTTCAACTGCTCTTCCCACGCTTTGGACCCGTTCGGACCCTTGCTATAGCTGTTGCTTAGTCTTATGGCTGTTTGACTCATTCGGTGCGATGCGTTCCACTGGGTGACGTGGAAAGTGGCTTTAGAGATGTTAGGGGTGTTGGGGTTTCAAGACAGCTGGATTCAATAGGCCAAAGACCTCAAGCTGAGTCCAACCTCTCCAAGTCCTGAAAGTTAGAGGTCTGATGGATTCTCAAGGGCCCAGGATACATCACTGCATCACAAATCACCGCACTGCGCATCACCACATCAAAAATCCCTATACACCACTTTGGATTCAGGGCTGGTGAATTCTTGGAGTCCCAGAGGTGGAGGAAAGGTATATAAGTTTGCATAAGTTATACAAGCATAATGAGTTCTTGGTGTCACGGTCCTGGTGGCTGTTTTGGCGCTGGGGCCACACGTATTCACATCACTACTGTCAGTGCTCTGTCATCACTGGTGACACTTCTTCTGCCAGGCACAGTGAGATGTTTTTGGTGGAGCTGCTCGAGCTGCTGCTCTTACTGCTTTTCCTGCTCCTGCTGCTCTTGCTGCTTGCGCTTCTGCTGCTCTTGCAGCTGCTCTTGCTGCTTCTCTGGCTGCTGCTGTTGCTGCTTACCGTGCTGCGTCATCTGTCCATATTTACATTTCCGCCTTTTTGGCACCGCTGGAATGGGTGGGTGGGAGGATTATTTTATAACATGTTTCATTACATTTTTTGGAATGCATTCGGCCGCCCTGGCTCAACCCGGTGCCTCGCTTCGATCTGGTTCGGGGGCTGAGTTTGGGTGGGTGGTTTCCCCTGCCCCACGCCAGCGAGGATTGGGGATGCATGGGAACTAAAATAAACCAGCACTGGGGGATGGATGCTGTACCTGCCGCTAAGATGCTGCATCATTTGGTGCCACGATTTCTAGGTACCAGGTCCGGCCGCCAGTAGCTGCCAAACATTGTGCACTAGGGCACGTTTCTGTTGATTTGACCCTAGATTGTCAGGGTTCGGTCTAGATTGTCAGTGCTGACAAGGTGTTGGACGAAATCGGTTCTTTAGCAGTCACCTTAGCGTGCCACGCAGGAATCTCAGCAAATTGAGTGAATTCATTGCATGAGGTTCAGTGTTTTTGGCTACCACATGTAGGTTCAGCCGGTCTGGGATCTCTTGGTGGGAACGATGCACCAATCGCAAATAGTGTATACTGTATAGTCAAGCGCAGTAGTCCCAAGTATAGCTACAATCATTTTAGTATAGTAGCATAGCCTAGTATAGTAGTCCGTAGTCCTGGGTTCTCAGTTCAATTCTTTTCTCACAATGTGCTGCACTGAACATTTTCCTAAGGCCCTAAGGCCCTACACCCGCTCCTTGACGTTCAAACGAGAGGGGTCTTAACTGTTTCCGCGTCCGTCCGTGTGAGGCCAGATCCATTGACCAACCGGCGCGGAAACGGCCGCGTTTGACCGCAGTCATGGGCGTTCCTTGGCGCAGTAGCTGTTGGGCTGCCAGGTCTCCGGGTTTCTACTAAAAGGAGGGCATTGATCTTGGTAACCAAACCAAATCTGCCTCCGGCTGTGAAGGGTTGAACCCTTCTCAAGTCGCTTGAGCCCAGACCTGCCCAAGATCGATCCCACACATTTGAGAGGAGCAGCAGTGGTTACTTCATATATCTTAATATAAGATAAATAGCCATATAGGAGTTAAGTGTGCTTCACACTAATTAGGGCAGGGGGCTTTGGCGGTGACAGGAGTGTGAAGATCTAAAGCAAATTGGCCGCAGAAGTGGTTCGGTTCGTTGAGTTGCTTCAGCTGATTTTTCTGGGTGAGGCCCAGAGATGACACTCTTGCCTGGTTTTATGCAGTTTTCGTGGTTCCGACCAAATCTTCTAGCTCAGGTTGACCCCTTGGAGTGCACAAGCATGTAGTCCAGGATGTCCAAGGTAAAAGCCTCACGTGCGCGCCGCGTCCACATGTCGGCCTCCGCTGAGGTGGTTGATAGGACAGATGAGTTCAGGCGCGAGTCTCGCGTGAGTTGTTGCACGAGTGGTGCACTTCAGGGACGTCCCTGAAGTCGTGTGGAAGATGATGTGCATGCTGCTGCTCTTATCTCAGTTTCTCTTCATTATTGTTTCTGTTCTCGTGCGTAGATAGCTCATGGGTTTCCTACTCAACACGGCTCAAAGGTCAGTCTGTGGTACCCCCTACAACGGAGGCCACGGTACACTCCTCCAACTAACATTGCCTGGGCATAGCAGAAACATGTCACATCCTCCGGGACTGGTTTCTTTGGATCGAACCTGGCTCAGGCACATCCTCCGGGACTTTGCCACCAAGAGTGGCGGAGGTGCTGTGGGAGCAGCGTCAACTGGGAGCACAAGACTTTGAGGGCCGACTTAAGGTGTTATCAGGGGGAACCAAAGCAGCCGGCGTCTCAGAATGGACCAAACGAACGTGGCAGGCTTAAATGGCTGTGGGCCTAACCATCCATTATTGTTGGAGGTTTATTTATGTAGTTGAACTGATCCTATTTGTCACAGACTGTTCTGTTCACTGTGGGGGTCAACCAGACGCCAGGCTTTCGATCCATACAGGTAGATCATTCCACAGCCAGAAGATGCCATGGTCGCGGAGTCTTCTTGACCTTTTTGTCGGCAAGGCCTATGTCTATGTTTTGCAAACTTTGTGTGTTGCGTCGCGTGGCCCGCCCATGTGAAATATTTGCGCGAGATGGATGGTGTATACTACCTTGAATGCGGCGGATCCAAGCCTTCATCACCTACTGACTTTCCAGAAAAAGTGCGCTAAGTAGGAGCCTCGCGCCATGGGAGAGATCATGCGTGACTGTGACTATGTCCTAACATATATAGGTATACAGAAAATATAGAAATGATGGGCAGGCGGCTCTTTGCAGCACCTTTGCGGCACCGAGGTTGCCAATGGCAAAATCTAACAACACATACAACCGAGAGGTGTTAGACGAGGAAGGCCTCGTCAAACTCAGAGACCTACGAATGCAACGCGCGGAAATGTTGCCGTTGCGCCACACGACGGGGTAGGCTTGAACTTTGAGACGACGCCTCAAGCAACGCCGGGGCACCTGGTGTGGCGTATGGACCAGTGAGACTTTCTGGAAGGACCCCCATTGCAATGATACTGTTTGATATTTTTTGTAGGATTCAGGAGTTGTTTGGCTTTTAAGGCCCAAACAATTGTGGGTTTGATGGTTTTTGCGCAAGATCACTATGAGATATTGATCACTCGATCCTGCTAGCTTCCATGTTGGTGCAACTACGTAAGAGTCGAGAAACCTTGAGCAGAAAAGGATGGGTTCGTTCTGCAAAAACGTGATCAGGTAGAGTTTCCAGGTAGAGTTTCCACTTAGCAACATGCTTTTGTGGCAGCTTGTCCTGGCCTGAGGCGCTAAACCAGGCAAAGGATGCTAAAATCCGGTGCATCTCGAAGCACAAGGGCCCTCTAATCACTTGCTGTGCATCTGGCTGGTGCCCCCGAAGGACCCCGTGTCCAGTCGGAAGGTCCGTTGTTCCCGTCTCAGGTCCGAATTGAACCGATGGTCTGCAGAGATCGGTACAGAGACCCACGAGACCTCCCAGAAGGTGGGCGAGCTGAGGAGCGCCGAGCCGGTCCGGAGGTTTTGGGAGGGTGCAGGGGCGAAGGAGCGGAGCCGGAGTGTGTGGGGGGTGGGGCGGAAGGAGCAGGAGGATGTGGACAGCATGAGGATGAGGGGAACTGGTTGGTTGTAATAAATGTTTTCACAGATGTGGTATTTTCAACCAACATGAATCACAACTTTGATTCGCCCCATGGCGCGGAGAGAAACCAGATCCTCACCTCACCACTGGGCAGGAAGATGTCGAAGCAAAAGGGCATTTTTAACGACAAGACCGACCAGATCCAGGAGCCACCACTGCTGCGAGTGATCCAGTCGATCTGAAAGCTGGGTTTGTAAGGTGTCCCGACGAGGCTCAGAGACTAAAGCTAAAGGATTTGGTTCATGTTGGGGCGCTATCATGGCCCATTCGATGGGTCATGAAGTGAGGAGGGAAAGAGCTCAGCAGTCCCCCGATCTACTTGATTTCAGTTGATTTTGGACTCCCCTCAGGCAGCCGAACAGTTCGGTTCTTCTTGTTGGAATTGCTGGAACTGCCATAGAAAGCAACCCGTGACAAAACACACATTTCTGGGGTTGTGTCATGGCGTTTTCATGTGTTTTCCTTTTCATCTTTGTGCCTTTTGTGACTTCACTCCTTTGACCCTTCTGCTTTTCTCCGGGCAGACTTGCCTCTGCCAGGAGCTGACGTACACGGTGAAGCAGCAGATTCAGCTCCTGAATCAAAAGATCGAGGCCTTGGAATCCAAAGCCAAAAGCTCTGGGCTCCTCGACGTGCGCAGCCGGGTGGTTGTGGAGACGTGTGGTGTGGCGTGGGGCAGCACGGACAGAGATCGACTGCGAAGGGATGTTCACATGCGGACGATGGCCTCAAGATAGCAACATCAGGAGAAAATCTTAATTCTGTGGGCGTGCTTGTGTTTGACAAATTACACTAGGTCCAACTCATTTTCAAGCCCCTCCACAGAATAGCCTTGGATGAGTAAGAGATAGTAAG